ACCTCCCACTGTATAACCCCCATCTCATTCCCCAGTCAATCCTGTCACTGTAGAGACTTTTGCTGTGTCTGTCTGTACGCAGTTAATCTATTCCTCAGTTTCTCCCACCCTGAGCATATTGTTCTTCACGGATTCTGTTTAGCTGAACATGGATCAATCTCTGATGTTTGTTTGTGTAAACAGGACAGCCTTTCTTCGGTTGGAACGCCTCATAAAAGGGACTCGTTCACCTACACCACATGGTTGGATGACAGTGTGAGCATGATGAGTGCAGTGAGTGCGGGCAGCTTGGCAGGTGCGTTTCAGCAGGTTCATATCTGGTCTCCACTTACACAATACATCGGAATCAAATGTCCCTCATTCATAGGCATGTAGAAAATAGGAGTAGGCCATTCAGCCCTTCAAGCCTGCACTGCAATTCTTTAGGATCGTGGCTGATCATCCAACTGTCATCAGCCTGTTCCCACTTCTCCCCCACATTGTTCCCACTGAAGCTAATGACCACACTTACCTATTAGCTTTCCAATATCTGACTGAGATGATCTTGAGCACCTTACATCTCATTGCAGTGTTTTTAAATCTCGTAATAAACCATTGCACACAAATTCATTACATCATTGTGAAAATAATTAGCATATCTGAACTTGTGGCAAATGATCTTGGATGCAACATAGTCAGATCAAGAAAGAAACAAGGCAAAGATCGACCCTTGGAATAAAAAGAAAGAAAAAGCAAGCATCTAGAACAAAATGAAGGCAGAGGTTCTGAGCGAACATTTTTGAGCTTGATGTTGGGTGTAGAAGGTTGAGTCTTGTTCCTCGTGTTTCACTGGAACATTGCAGCAGACTGTGGACAGAAAGATGCAGGGGGCATGGTGAAGGATTAACATGACAAGCGAGCAGAAATGCAGGGTTGTGCTTACATTCAGAGCAGAGGTGTTCTGCAAAGCGGTCTCTGAGTCTACGTCAGGTCTCCCCAATGTAGAGGAGACCACATTGTGAGCAGTGAATACAGAGGGTACTCGGGGATCACAGGAAGTACAGGTAAATTGCTGCCTCACCTGGAAGACAAGTCTTGGCCAATGAGGACGGAGCAGTATTGCATCTCCTGTGTTTGCACAAAAAGGTGTAATTGGGAAGGGAGGGAGTGCCAAGGGTGACTGAGGAGTGGACTGGGGTATGGAGAAAGGACTGGTTTGTGTGAAATGCTGGATGGAGAGGCACGTGTTTGATAGTTGCACCACACTGACGATGGTGGGAATGACAGATCTTGGTGAGGTGGGGCGTGAGGTAAAAGAGGACCCTACTGACCACACTGGGCAGGAGTTATCAGTTAACGGAAAAGGAAGACGTCTTAGAAGGACTGGTGGGGAAAGCAGAATTTTCAGGATAGGTGCCTCAGAGATGGAGGAACTGGGATTTTGGAATGGAGTCTTTACAGGAAGCAGGATGTGAGGAAGAGTAGTTGAGGTAGTGTTTCTTCACTGTGTCCAAATGTCACTCTTTCTGACGGTGCATCATGAACTCTTTGTGTTTCATCTCCCTGGGCCTACTCCCTTTGAAACAGCTTCTTCTATGTTTTTTCCTGCCTTTCCTCCCCTACCACCGGGTTTAAAAACTGTAACATTTCCCTTCAGTCCTGATGAAAGGTCATTGACCCAAAACGTTAACTCAGCTCCCCTCACCCCCACAGAAGCTACTGGACCTGCTGAGTTTCTCCGGCAGCTCTCTGAACGTGTGCTTTCATTACATTTGTTTTTGTCAGTTCTGGTGTCTGTTGATTAGAATCTTTAGCCTCATTCCAATATCAGACATATTCTGAGTCCTTGTTTTTATGGATTCACAATTCTCTTCTCGATCAATTTCCTTCTTCAGTTACATTTACAAACCTCTGGCTAAGAATTGGTTTGTAGCTATTTTTAGGCTCTAATTAGGTGACACATTCAGAAATGCACTCAAGGCTCCTACAAGATTGACCATTGAATTAAATTCGCATAATTTTGTTAAAATGTTGTCAATTGGCTCACTATCAATCTGGGTTTCCAATCTGTCCCGCCTGGCACTGAAGAGGCCAGCTAGTGTGGGAATCTCTCACTAAGGCAGAACTACAGAAATACTCTGTGATTAACACTTGGTAAACTCTCAAACCAATCCCTTGGAAAACTTTGAAATCTTCCTGGAGAAGAGGTGAGCAGTTTAGGATGCAGGAAGTGGATTACAACTTGGGAACACTTAGAAAGCCCTTTTGAACTAGGAGACTAAACCAATTGAGGGTCTTGCCTATCAATTTTGAATTTTTTTTTCCTTCTCAACATCCAGCCACATTGATGGGTTGACCACTGGCCTAGGCAGAGGGCCAAGGTCTGTTGTTTCAGGGGAGATTGTGGAGCATATTGGATGGGGAGGTCAGGGAGGTGGAGGAGACTGTGGGGAAGAAGGTGGGGAAATGTGTCACCAAATCATTGGGCAATAAACTTGGGGCGGTGGATCCAGGACAGGGCGATATCTGATTGTGCCTTTAAAGACTAGCTACGATCAGCAGGAGGTTGGCTTGTGGGGTCAAGCAGGATATCGTCGGAGGCAGCAAGAAGGTCCTCGTGTTCTTCCCAACAACTTTCGTCAGCCTGAGTTATTCCTCAATGTGAGATTTCTACAGCACCCATCTTTGTTATCTCTTCTGAGTAAGTCTATCCGTGCCCTTTAGAATAGATTGATGAGATCCCAGCTCAGCAACTGACTGAATAGAACTTGCTTCCTGATTCTTTTACACAATTCATTTCCACAACTGTTTTCAGCAAACTGCTCAAATTAATTTGAAAAACTATAAACGTTCACAACTTTAAAAAGGAAGTTTAAAAACAATTGCTACCCGAAGGTTGCAGGAACAGCAACTCATATTCCGCTTGGGAACTCTGCAGCCTAATGGTATCAATGTGGACTTCACAAGCTTCAAAATCTCCCCTCCCCCTACCGCATCCCAAAACCAGTCCAGCTCGTCCCCGCCTCCCTAACCTGTTCTTCCTCCCACCTATCCCCTCCTCCCACCTCAAGCCCCACCCCCATCTCCTACCTACCACCCCAGCTCACCCTCTTGACCTGTCCGTCCTCCCTGGACTGACCTATCCCCTCCCTACCTCCCCACCTACACTCACCTTTACTGGCTCCATCCACGCCTCTTTGACCTGTCTGTGTCCTCTCCACCTATCTTCTCCTCTATCCATCTTCTATTCACCTCCTCCTCTCACCCTATTTATTTCAGAACCCCCTTCCCCTCCCCCATTTCTGAAGAAGGGTCTAGGCCCGAAACGTCAGCCTTCCTGCTCCTCTGATGCTGCTTGGCCTGCTGGGTTCATCCAGCTCTACACCTTGTCATCTCAGATTCTCCAGCATCTGCAGTTCCTACTATCTCTGACAATGAAGTAGCTTTTGTAAACATTTTCTTGTCAGAATGATCCTTAGTTTGAAAGTTGCCTGAGCTTCATACACTTGACAGTTCAAACACAATGTCAAGTGTCAGAGCCCTCTAAACAACTTTGGAGCTTAAAGGGTATTTTTTTCAGTGTTTTGTCATGCACATACTAGTCTTGCCAACTCTTTAATGTGTGTAGGTGGCCCACGGCCAGTCCTGGATGGTAACCGAGCCAATGACTTACCGAGACCAGAAATCAAAATTAAACTCGAGAGAACCGAGCAGCAGAAACTCAACCAGGTAAGAAAATGTCACAGATCATTTTGTTCCTGGTGTATTTTTACTGCATTTGTCCACTCTGTGCTTGTACAAATTGTGGATTCTGAGCCTTGTGTTTGTTGGCAATTTTGTTCTGTTCAGCATTAATTTTCTGTGAAAGCTTTTTTATTTTGATAAAAGTAAAATTCAGCAACCTTTGATGATTTTTTTTATCTGTGTGTGCTAAAGTTTTGGTTCAGTGTGTTATTTTCACAGCCAGGCAGAAAATGAAACGTACAAAACGTTACCAGTATGGCTCGGGGTTTTCAGGAACTTCATGCCCTCCCCCACCACCAAACTCACTGAAAAATTATAAATTCATTGATTAAAACATTAAGCTTATCAAACCTTTGAGACACACACACTCTTCCAACACAACTTTTCATTCACTTTCCACACGAGTGAAGAAAGAAAAATTGCGATAATTTTTGTTATTAAAAGTGTGAAGTCCTATTTATTTTGCACCGATCATTGTCACTGTGAAAAAGACATTAGTGTGGCCATGGGAAAGGAGGAGTGGGATTAACTGAGATAACAAGGTGCAGAGCTGGATGAACACAGCAGGCCAAGCAGCATCGTAGGAGCAGGAAGGCTGATGTTTCGGGCCTAAAGGCTTTTTTAAAAAATTCACAGGGTGTGGGTGGCACTAGCTGGACCAGCGTTCATTACCCAGCCCTAATTGCCCAGAGGGCAGTGAGGAGCCAATCACATTGCTGTGGGTCTGGAGTCACATTTAATCCAGTCCTAGATAAATTTTCTTCCCTAAAGGACATTAGTGAACTAAATGGGTTTAACCTCACAATCAGTAATGGTTTCTTGGCCACTGTTAGACTGTTAATTCCAGATTATTTTTGAATTCAAATTCCACCATCTGCCATAGCAGGATTTGAACCCAGGTCCCCAGAACATTACCTTGGTTTCTGGATTAATAGTCTAGTGATAATACCAACAGGCTGTCACCTACCCCTGACCCAGGCACCATTGGTCAAATAGTTTCCTTCTGTAGTAAATGTTAGAGACACTTAGTGGACCAGTCAGTAGCTGGAAACAAAATATGCTGGAGATCACAGCAGATCAGGTAGATCACCCGCTTTGATCTCCAGCATTTTTTGTTTTGAGTTCAGATTCCAGCATCTGCAGTAATTTGCTTCTAATATCTGGAGACAGATACCGTATAATGTTTCTGTTCTGTGGGTTCTGATGATGAACAATTTTCAAACAGAACAAACTCAGTTTACCTTTATAACTTATTAATCCAGGGTCCCCAACCTGTTTACATTGTAAATGGTTAATTCTAGTAAACCATTTCAACACACAAACGGATTTACATTAGCCCAACACCCATTGTTGAATGAATCTAGAATCTTATACTTAGCAAGGCTCAGTTACAGAGTGGAGTTGGAATTCACGAGCTGCACACTGGGAAAGTTCGTCTTTCAGATTTCTTTACAAAGTTCCTTCATACATACACTGTAGATGTATGTGTGTGACACTATATACAGACAGAGAAGTTTTACTTACTAGTGAATACAACACAGCAAATGTATATCTGCTTTAATTGTTCTTATGGATCCAAAGAATGTTGGAGCTGAGGAAAATTTGGATAATAAAACTGTTAAAATTGGTTGCATACACATTGTCTTGTAATTAAATACCAATGAGCTGCCAGAAGATGTAGTGGAGGCTGGTATAATTACAACATTTAAAGGGCATCTGGATGGGTATATGAATGGGAAGGGGTTTAGAGGGATATGGGCCAAATACTGGCAAATGGGGCTAGATTTATTTAGGATACCTGGTCAGAATGGCTGAGTTGGACCCCCGAGCGTCTGTTTCCGTGCTGTATATCTATATGACTCTATGACTCATGAGTATAAACAATCATCAATTCTTCAATTGTATATGCCACGATATGTTATTTCTTGCAAACTGTGCATTTTGCATGTTGTCTCACAATATATGTTCATGTATGAATTCAACACTTCAGTCCATATAATAGTGTCAACTGGGGATTCTATCTGATCATTATAATCCTCTTCCTATATCAGTCTTAAAACAGATTGCAGATATGAACTGACAATTGTATATTTTCACCTGGAATAATTTCCATCATTGTCCAGTTTCACATTGTTTTTCAAGTCCACACAAGTTTAAGAATAGTTTGTACTGAACAAAGTGACTATGATATAGAAAAGCCACTATTCATGAGCTTGTTAGGCAATCTGCTGTTATCAACAAAGAATTTCAGTTGTAGCGTATTGACTGGCTCATTGTGTCCATTCTAGGTGTGTGATTTTAGAATTCAACTGAGTGCTGCGCCTTTCAGGTTTTCTGTGTCTGCTCAGAGCTATTAGCACAATTGATCAGATCTGGCTGTTACTAAAAGTTTAAATGTTCCAATTCTGATTAGATAGGTTGCCAATAACCTGTATGAGTAGGTTATGTGTAAATGAGTGTGAAAACACAATAATTTGCATTCATTCATATACATTAAAAAGGTTGACATCTGTAGCACAACAGCAGGGTCATAGAACAAAGAAAACAGGAATGGGAGTAGGCTGTTCACCCTTCGAGCCTGCTTCACATACCCTTCAGTCCCTTTAGCCTTGAGGACTATATCCAACTTCTACCTGAAAACATTCACTACTTTGACCTCCATAGCTTTATGTGACAGAGAAATCCACAGGCTCCCTACTGTCTGGGAGAAGACATTTCGTCTCAGCTCAGTCCAATCTGATCAAACTGTCCAGCTAGAAATTGGTCAAAGCTGATACTGTGAACAGTATCATTTGTTTAATGATTGTGAGAAGTAGAAAACAGAAATGAGAAAGAAAAATGGTAACATTTACTAAATAAATACTGAGAAAACATGTCAACATCCTAATGATGCATTTACCTTCCAATACAACGTGATAGCAGGCCCACTCCAGGCTCGTACTCTGAGTCACAATTGCTTCCACAGAATCTGAGACTCCTCTAAAGAAGATTTTGTAACAAATTTGAGAAGAACTATGTTCAAGTTGCTACTTCCCATTTCTTTCTGGATGTTCCACAGCGAACACACAAAAATACAAACTTGCCTTTAATAGAGTTCTCCATTCAATTGGCTGGGCTGGAGCCTCCTCACTTGGTGCAGTCCAGCAGAGTCAAGGATTGCTTATGGCCCACAGAGAAAGGGAATATTTTAGAAGCCAATGTCCCCACTTTCACAACAATTCCTGTCCCATTCCAACTGTAAAGGTCCTGAGACCACTTTCACGTTTACAGATAGACGTCAGTGAGGGACTAGGTGGCTGTAGGGCTAGACTTCCACATGGGTATGAGGCTAGAGTACCACATGGGTGTGAGGCTAGAGTACCAGGTGGATGTGGGTTTAGAGTACCAGGTGGGTATGAGGCTAGAGTACCAGGTGGGTGTGAGGCTAGAGTACCAGGTGGGTGTGAGGCTAGAGT